GGGGGGGGAATAATCCGCACCAACTCAAACTCTAACTTTTGTGTCTGTGTTGCAGATTCCCACCGTGCAGCAGATCCAGTTTTCATGACGAGGCCTTACCCCCGAGCCTGAACACAGTGGCCGGATGGACAGGAGGAGGAGTAGGAAGGGGGGATCGTAGAAACCCCCATGTACAGAGAAATCACTACCTGTTCAGTAGAAAGTGTAGTTCCTAGTTGTGAGGTACCAAATGTTTTGGAGTGCATCCAAACCAGCTGGGAGAAATCAAGGCTTTATTTTAAAGGCTAGTCTTATTACATGATTTAGTGGTCAAATTGTTTTTTCCGTGCGTGTGTGTTAATGTGTTTGCTTTTATGCATTTCTTTCTTTTGGGGTTGGGGGGGGGGGGGGGGGGTGTGTTGGATGTTTATTTTGGAACACCTGTTTTGAACGGAGAGAAGGCTTGTTGTTACTGTCACATCAGATCATGCAGCTCTTTTGTAAGTTAACACGATGTACTATGTGCTTTAATGTTATGTAAATCCTTTGAATAAAAATTCAAAAGTGATGTTTAAAATGTCCCCTTTTTGATTATTTGTATTATTCATCACACAAAGACATCCTAGTATGCATGTAGCTGTTCCTCTGGTGTCCAAGGCTGGGTATCGACAGGAACTAGAGACGCACAGATTGATTTTCATGGCCAATTGTGATTTTCTTTCTAAGAGCTATAATCAACAGCAGGCTGACTAACTTTTTTTATTTGCATAAAAACACTTCAAATGATTTGGAAATCTACGATTGTTTTTATTTATTATGGCGTTAGTTTTAGTTATGTATTCAAAGCTGCTTAGAGCTAGTGTTCGAGTCATAATTCGCTCTAATATGTATTTTATACCATATTTGGTGTGAATGGGTGAATGATGACATGTAGTGTTAAATCGTTTTGAGTGGTCAGAAGACTATACAAGTAGTCCATTTACCATCTTGAGAGACGACGTCTCCTCTAAATACATACGCACACCTAAGGCGGTGGCAGTGCAGTGTGCGATCATGAAGCCGGAGTTCAAGCCATCATCTTGGATGAGGAAGCCAGGCAGTTCACTGAAGGCCGGGTTCACCAGCCTCTCCACCCTTCTCTCGCTCATACTGGTCAGCTCGTGCACCCCTATGACCAGGTAGTCCAGGGCCTGAGACGGCAAAGGTCACACTCAATCCAAGACATTTACTAAAGACGTAAAATGCCAAAGTGGAAGAGGTTGGCATTTTTTCTGATGTCCAGTTTAAAGTTTGAGAATACACTTGGTGCCCTGCCAAAGCTGCCAGCAGGCTCTGAAACATTGCCAGACAAAGACAGAATTTACCAGCATTAACCCTTTCATGCATGAATTATGACAGCCTAAGTCAGGATTTTTTTTACCAAGTGTTTTTTTTGCTCTTTAGGCATGAAAAACAAGATTTGAATTTTTATTTTTTTAATCCAGTTTTTTCAAAGAGATTTTCATATGTCCACTCAGGTGGACAGCATGTGTTTTTGTTTTCAACTGAAGAAATATGTATTTATAAAATGATATATAAAGATGTGAATGTGATATGTATATACAAAGAACATTTGCAGACTATCTTTTATGATAATTGGCAAAGCACCCAGGGCACAAAGCCTCAAGACACTGCATACAGATGTACTTGGTTCTTCGTGTGCATGCAGCATCATGGCATCTGTTTGCATTTTTTGCTCTGTGAACATTTGCTCACTCTTATTTGCTGATGGGCTGATGATGCAGGTGCTGCAGGTGCTGCAGCCGCTAGGCACGTGGCATTGGTCACACCTGCAGCACCTGCAGCACCTGCAGCACCTGCAGCACCTGCAGCACCTGCAGCACCTGCAGCACCTGCAGCACCTGCAGCACCTGCAGCACCTGCACTGGATAGTAGACTCCCTCCATAACCTCCCCCAACCTGAGCTTGGGGATCCGCCTCCTGTGCTGTGTCTGCTCGGCTTTCCCCCTGGTTTGCTGCAGGAAATATAGCCAGTGATGCATGATGTCCAATTTAGTGGACTGATGATTAATTGTAATTTCCTCCCAATATAAAACAATACTTGGAAAATGTATGAATTATATGATTCCTTAGTTGTTATACTTGATGTCACCAACATTTTCATACCTGCAAGGGTCTCTTTCCATAGAAGGATTGGCAAGATAATGATGAGTGACCGGGTGTTTCTGACTGTCTGTCAGCTATCTTGGTTTTGAGAAATGTATCTTCCACTTACAACGGCTTGCCACTGAGTAGCAGTGTATGGGATGATGCAATAGCATTCACTGTAGTTGCTGATGTGCAACTATGCCATCAAAACCCATGCATATACAAGAAAACTACATTTGAATAGCTGTCCACTGTAGTGACCTCTATGCATGAAAGGGTTAAGCTGCTGACTCTCCAGCGAGTCCTCTCCTCTGCCAACTCAAACACACCGGGAGGAGACAGAGAGATAACAGAGGATCCTGGATCCTGACAGTAAATTGTTGTACAGTGACTTTACCTTGGCTGGATGCTCTCCATGGAAATTCCCACCAGATGTCATCTCCTTGGTTTCTCCAAATACCAGCTGGAGATGAGTTAAGCGTTCATAAAGCACCAGTCAGTCGTTTAGGGGACACTGCCACCTTGTGTACAACTTGTGTAACATGGCAGAGGGGGAAACCTTAAATACAATGTGTCAAGAGTGTCAGGAAGAAAACTATTTAAACGTAAATATTCTACTCTTAATAATCAATACTTGCAGTAATCTGACTTCTGACTGTCATTATTGTTTACAAATTAAAAGTAATTTTGTTAAATCCAGCACATTTTTATGTGATTTTGTGGTTTATAATGCTTATAATGTCCTGCCTCCTCGTCTCTCTTCTTCTCTTCCTCTTGTTTCTTCCTCGTGTTGCTTTCTTTCCTCTTTCTAAAAGACAAATGGCAGACAAATCAGGTCATAGTCGACAAACACCTTCAACAGCCAGAGGAACGATCCATCTGAGCATGATAAGATCAAAATGTGTTCTTATCTTTTTTTAGTGAGAGGGCTCACAATGTATGCTGTATGCTGTCTCCTGTCCTCGTCTCGGCTGGACTCCTCTCCTCTTCTCTCTCTGAAAGACAGACTGCAGAGAAGGGATACTTCACCATGAACACTGTTAAATTGTCAGTAAAGGACTACTTAGCCATTTGTTAACTCTTCCTGTGTTGTCTTCTCTGTCCACAGCTGGCTGCTCTGGTTAGCAGAGAGAGAAGCGCTGCTGGAGTTCCTGTCTTCTCCTGCTTCTTCTATCAGCCTGTTGTTCCTCGTCGACCTGCCTGTCTTTGGTGGATCAGTAGTGTTGTTGGCTCTGACTCTGCTCCTGCAGCTGTAGTAGTAGGTCTTCTCATTACTAGCGCCAACTGAAGTCTTGAACTAGCTCCTGGTTATCTCTAGTCGTATATTTACAAATGTTTTGTATCCAGCCATGTTCTCTTGAAGGAGAATGTCTTTGTTTTTTGTTTCTTACATGAATTAATGGCTGAGAGGTTTGTAACAGTATATTGTTTGCATCTTGCAATAAATATTAATATGGTTTTGATCACTTTGTGTTGTGTCTATTTGCCTGTTCTGTTCTGTGTTTTGAGACACTGCTGGCCTTTCAATGTCATTTATAAATGCTTTGTAAGGCATAAATAGTCCTCACTTTAGATGAGGTCACACAAAATACTTTACTAACGAGTAGTAACTACCTTAATAAATCATGAATTGCAGTATTAATATGCTTTTATAAAGCATATATTAACATAGTCCCTAACCATTATATATATAAATTCATGAATAATGTACATCTAAATAAGTTATTAATCATTTACTAACACTTTATAAATTATCTTATTAATCATCTACAACTCCTTAATAATTGGTTTGTAAAATATATAATACTTCATTTACAAATGGGGAATCCATCATTTATAAAGTATGAAAACACAATAATGAAACACATAATAGACGGGCTTATTAATCAAGAATAAAACATTTATAACTGTTGTTATGAACTGCATACTAATGAATTATTAATGTAGGAACAATGCTTTATAAATGATGAATTAGGTGTTTACTCATACTTAACTAATGCTTCATAGTGTGTAGTTATTATAAAGTGTTACCAAGGGTTTTACTGCGCAGATAGACAACATTCTATCTGGCTACATGTGAAAGCAAATAATGCAAATAAGGCCTGAGCCTTATTTGCATTATTTTGAATTTGAATTCTGGGTAATTCCCTTGGGCAAAGTCTGCATCTAATGCTGACTGACGGGAAAGGTTCATAAAGGGCTCAAAATGTCTGCGAGAGACTCAAACACTGTGATTTGACAGTGGGACAGAACTAAACCCTCACGGACTTTACAGGAGCTCGCCGCAAAGTCCGTCAGTGGAGATTGGGATTGGGCCGTAGACAGCATTCTTTTTTTTTTGTTACATATAATCACGAATTTTTGTTTTGTTTTTTGTTTTTTCATGAATTTCATCAAGTGACTTAAACTTTACAGTTAAAATGTTTCTTATTTGTATTTTATTTTGTATTAACAGCCTGTAAAAGACACTCTCTATATTGGGGCAGCTCTTTTGTCACATGGGAGTGTTGAAGAAAATAAGGCAATCAACATCCTGAGTCACTGTTGTTTATTTGATTCAAGCTGCGATGGAGATTCAGGATACAGTGCTGTGGGTGGTAACCAGCCTCAAATACAAAACCTGGAAGTCAAGCAAAGAGAACAAAGCTTCCAGTAAACCAGCGAGGGACAAAGTGACGTATCACACTGAGATTGTATCACTGTGATAAAATTAATCTCTTGTGAGGTAAGACACATGAAACACTTCAACTAAGTTTATTTGAATTTGAATTTTATAATGAAAACTAAATGTTGCCAGTAACCATTCGAATATACTGTACAGTACATGGGGGAAATTTTGAGGTACTTGTATTATATTCCTCCTACTTCTGCTTCATGCTATACTCCATTACTACTTTGTACTCGATCACATTTACTCAACTGGATACTTTGTCGATAACATAAAGTTAAAAACATATGATCAGTCTATAAAAGGCAAGTAAACGTGCAAAAGTATCAGTGTGATGATATACTTCAAGTACCTAAAGTAGAAGTACGCATTGTGCAGAATAATTATATATTACTGTGCTCAGTGGCGGGCCCTGCATTTTATACCTAGGCCTTCACTGTTGTCCTGCAGCTGAAATACCTCCTTATAACCACATGATGGCTCCACAATTATTATTAGTTTCTAAGGCTGTAACTATGTACGTAGTAAATGTATGTATCTAC